GGTAGGGAAAAAAAAAAAATATATATATATATATATATAAACCAAAATCTAAGGTGAGTTAAGTTTTGATAAGACAAAAATATAAAAAAATGGATCATAATTTTATAGAAATGATTTGCTACATGAAAATATATATATTGGATGCCTAATAGTTAAAAAGAAACATTTCTAAAAATACTTAAATTTTTGTATAATATATATATATATACAAATCTACTCTTATCGTATCACATTTTAGAATATGTAGTGTACAAGTTCCCATTCATGTTTCATGTACCAGAATGATTCAAGTTTTGGTAACATATGGACAAATTCTATCTTAAGGATATAGTGTTAAAGTGGCACATATAGCACTGTTTTCCCAACGCACGCATAATCCCTTATTTAATATTTCACAAAGACCAGACTGGCCTTACGATGTGTAAGAAGAACAAAAGGCTCTAAGGGCTCTGTTCATGGCTATAGTAATTATTCTCATGAAACTATACACGAATACAATAATGAGCTTTCATCAATAACTGGAGAATGATATGCAAACCATTTTCTCTGGAACAAACACAAAACATGAACAAATATCCTAGAAGAAAAACTAGAGCTTTTGCTTAGAGAATTTATAAAGCATGACGCTGACAAAAAGGCTGCGCAAAGCTCAGGTTGTGAGATGAAAATCAAAATCAAAGCTGTTACAAAAGGGGGAGTACAAAAAAAAGTAGGAAATGAACATTTTTAAGAATTTATGGACATACAAGTATGGTGAACAAACAACATGTTTGCACTTTATAGTAAGAGTATATGTGTCATTTTAAACTCGACTTAGTCCGACATCAAGCCTAATCTAGTCATCCCAAGTCCGACTCTAAAATAATTTCTAAATCCCAAACCACACCTTAACCCAATAGATACGGATTATTAATATATTATTTTTTCCTTGAAGGGTTATTAAGTATTTAGATCCTCTTAATAATTATTTAAATAACGTTAACAAAATTCAATTATAGAATAATATGATATTTTAACAAATTCTAGAAAGAAGTATATATATACTTTTCTTGTCTTTTATTATTTTTTTAGTTTATTTGTTAACTAAATAATATAAAAAATTAAAATTAAAATTTTATGAATGGGTGGGCTGGGCCTAGTCTGGCCAGACAAAAATCCTATTTCAAACTTAGCCAAAAGTTAAATGGACTCAAATTTCAGCCCAATTCAACCCTATGGATTAAACATTTATCCTAGCTCTAAAATAAAAGGTTGTGGCCAGGTCATCGGACCCATGGCCACTCCTAGAGTACAAGACTCACTTGCACAAATCTATGTGTGTTACCATTGTACTTTCATTTGTTTGATACTATTTTTTTCACTTTTCACTTTTTTAATATTCTCCCTTTGCCAAACATGAGCAGCATGAGGCTGGTATCTTCACTCCAGCCCATTTTCTCAAAAATTCCATAAAAAAAAAGAAAAAAAGAAAAAAAAAAAAAGGAAGAAAATGAAATGAATTTTCCATCATTCTCAGTGCAAAGAACAAAATTTCTAAAAGAGTAGTTCGAGATATCAATCAAAATTTTCTAAAGTGAACCGCAGTTGGCAAAATCAGAGTACAACATCTCACATTCACATCAAAACTCTACTAATTAAATAAAAAAATGACAGCCAATTAGCAAAATTATATTAAAATAAACCCAAATAAAAGAAATACTAACAAGTACTCTTATGCATTATTTAATGTTGACAAGTATGTATAAAGCGTTTTGAAAATATATAAAACTATTAAAAACTATTTAAATTTTTTATCTTTTATTTGTGCCCTATGACACTTATTAGCAAGACCAATAAAAAATGTTGCAATACCACTTGATTTAAATCATGCACATTTCTATTATCACACACCCCAACCCAATCAAACCCTACCTAAAAACAAAAAAACTATGTGGCGTCAGATTATGATATTTTGTATATAATTCAACATTTTAAACTGATCAAGTGAACTATATTCACATAATCGAAACTCTAAAAAATCAAGAGATTTGGAGCTTTAGCAAAGTCGTTATATTGAAACATTATATATCCTAGCTACGAATCAACAATGCAAGAAACAGAATACACAGATCGATCCAAAAAAATAAAAAATTCAAGATATAAATGTTTAAACCGATCAAATATACAACTTCATGAAACAACGAGATCAAACCAAAGGTAATCAATCACAAAATACAAGTCCAATGGATAGATCGAGTCAATCGCAATGTAGATGAAATGCTAACGCTATAGCGAAAGGAAAAATGTGTATGAAACTAATGCTGTGTTGGGTTAGAAAATTTAAGAGATATTTTAAAATGAAAAAGGAAAACGTGTGTAAAATTAGATGAAAATAGATATTATCTTATTTTTATTTTACTTATCTTTTCTCTTTTCGTTCTAAATCTTTTTCCAAATCTCTCAACAAACAGCGTTAGTGAAATAAACGTATATTTTATTTACATTTATCTATATATATATATATATATATATTTTTTTTCAAATTCCCAACCAAACGCAACGTAAATAATATGAGAGAGAGACCTGAGGAAAGGAAGAGCTCTGAGCCCAGACGCTGCCGTCGTGGCCGATGATGGCGGCGAGGCGAGGTGTTGGCTCTGGCCATCGATATCAGACATCAAGTGCTCGTCACATATGTCTGCCACGACATTTTTACTCTCTCCCTCTAAAACTATCACACACGCTCTTTCTTTTTTCTAGAATCAACTTTGGGGTGGTGTGGTGGTGATTATGGTTTGTGAGTTTGTTTGTTTGTTTGTTGTTTTTTTTCTGTTTTTGGGAAGGGAGGATATTAAATAGAGAGAGAGAAGAGAGGCTAAACTGGGGGTGTTATTAGATGATTCATCACCATCTTCTCTGTGGACCGTCCGTTCCCCATTCCGATTCGATTGAATTAGTGCCACTCACGTCCCGCTTTATTCATGGACACAATTACACACTCATCATTGCCCATTATCACACACCCAATTTCTTATTACATTCATTAAAAAAATAGGGCAAATTACATATACACCCCTCGAGGTTTGGCTAAATTATAAGATGTCCCTGAGGTTTGAGAAATTACGAATTCCCTCCTGAATGCTAATTTGCATAAGAAATTAGGGGGTAATTTGTTATAAATATAAACCTCAGGGGGCAAATTGTTATAAAAATACAAACCTCAGGGGCGGGATGTAATTCTGAAACCTAGGGAGGTATCTGTAATTTAGCCAAACCTCGGGGTGTATATGTAATTTGCCTAAAAATAAGAAATTTACCAATAAATTTTATATGAGGAATAGTGATAGTTTAATTTTAATTTTTTATAGGCTAATTAGTTTATTAATTTTAAAAAGGTAAATTTAATATATTATTTAGAAATTAGATTTACGATTATACCTTATTTCTATTATATATATATATATATATATATATATATATTTTTTTTGTGTGTGCGCTAGTAAAGTAAGATATAAATCTATGATAATTAAGTTTGGGATAAATTTTTATATGAGATTTTTTTATTTGAAATGATTTGAAATATGAGATTTTTCTGATATTTTAAAAAAATAGTATAAAAATGATTGAAATATTGAGATTTTCAAATATTTAAAGGATGTGTGATTCTTCAAACATTTCAAAAGAAACTCAAACTCCTTAGTAACTTTAGGTAAATGTATAATTTCAAATTGTAACACCAATGTAACATTCAAACATAACATCCTAATGTAACACTCAAAAAAAACTTCTTACTGTACTTTTCTAAACGTAATACTCCAAAAAAATTTCTTAGTGTACTTTTCCTAAACGTAACACTCCAATGTAACACTCAAAGCAAAAGATGTGAGATTCTTCAAACCATTCCAATATTGAGAATCTTGGAATCATTTAAAAAAGAGTACAAAAATTCCTTAGTAAATTTGGACAAATGTATAATTTCAAACTGTAAGTGTTACGTTTGGAAAAATATACTGAGGAGTTTTTAATATTTTTGTGTGTTATATTGGAGTGTTACGTTTGTGATTACATTTATTAGAGTGTTACGTTTGGAAAAAATACATTAAGAAATTTTTTGTGTGGGTTACAATAGAGTGTGTATATTGGAGTGTTACGTTTAGAAAAATATATTAAGGAATTTTTTAATGTGTTACATTAGAGTGTTACTTCTTATTTGTAATGTGAGATTTGTTTTTAAAATGAGGGAAATCCAAAATCTCTATGGTGCAGATTGCTCAAATGGAGAAATCCACATTTATCCTTCAAAAATTAAATCAAACGTATAAGTGACTATCCTTTAATATAATTTTTACTTTAATGTGACCTTTGGATTCATAAGGAAAAATGACTAAAACGTTCATAAGATCATATTTTAAGATCAACAATGCTAGGTATCATGAAAAGTCTTTCATGAAAAGTCATGAAAGATTTGTAACCTTTGGATTACACTTACAATAAGCACCACACACTAATCAAGATAATCTAAGGACCACAATTTTCATGATCATTTTCATGACAAAATTTCATGATCTCTAACATTTCTCTTTAAGATTTATGGTACTTTACCTACAAAATATGATGAAAGATAAAATTATAAAAAATAAAAACATAAAAATGTTTGTCTATCCATATGCCACCACTCACTCATCCTTAACTTGCCACCACCTCCTTATTACCGCTCCACCCCACCCGCCCCGCCCCACCCCACCTCTCTCCTTTCTTTTTCCTTCCTCTTTCTTGTTTTTTCGATTAAATTTTTTCTCACTTACATATATGCATTTACTTTGCGGTGTCGTTAGGATTTCAAAGAATGAGTAATAGCAGTGCAATCGAGAGAACTTTTTTTGGAGAAACAACCGAGAATGGGATGATTGGGTGTTAGCCAAAGGTGGAGTAGGAGGTGGTAGTAGTGATTGACGGTGGTGGTGGTAGTAGTTGGAAGTGGAGGAGATGGTGGCTAGGGTGGGATTGAGATTCTCTACACTAATTTTAACTTATATAATTTTGCAATACTAGTTTATAGGTCCTCAAACACAATCTTTATACAGATTAAATCATGCTTAAATCATCTAATGATATTTTGGGCCCCTAAACTAACATTGCAAAATTATTACATGTTAGGATATTTATAAAGAATCTCAATTGCTAGGGTAGGTGTGGTACGGAAGGTTAAGGAGAAATTAATTGTAATATAACGATAGGTGAATTAAAAAAATTAAGAATTAGAAGTTCCTAAAATGAGAGTACTTAGAATGTCTATATACGTGGACATGTTTGGTGCAATTCTTAAAACTAAACATATTTTGTATATTTTATTACCTTTTAATGATTTTTTTATAATTTTATGACATATAATAAATAAAATTAATTATATATATTAAACGTGTCCTCAACGTGTCGTGTTCCCCATTTTTTGAAAATTTGCGTGTCCGTGTCATGTCCGTGTCGTGTTGCGTGTCCGTGCTTAATAGGTGTAATATATACAAATCTACTCTTATCGTATCACATTTTAGAATATGTAGTGTACAAGTTCCCATTCATGTTTCATGTACCAGAATGATTCAAGTTTTTGGTAACATATGGACAAATTCTATCTTAAAGGATATAGTGTTAAAGTGGCACATATAGCACTGTTTTCCCAACGCACGCATATCCCTTATTTAATAGTTCACAAAGACCAGACTGGCCTTACGATGTGTTAAGAAGAACCAAAAGGCTCTAAGGGCCCTGTTCATGGCTATAGTAATTATTCTCATGAAACTATACACGAATACAATAATGAGCTTTCATCAATAACTGGAGAATGATATGCAAACCATTTTCTCTGGAACAAACACAAAACATGAACAAATATTCCTAGAAGAAAAACTAGAGCTTTTGCTTAGAGAATTTATAAAGCATGACGCTGACAAAAAGGATGCGCAAAGCTCAGGTTGTGAGATGATAAAATCAAAATCAAAGCTGTTACAAAAGGTGGAGTACAAAAAAAAAGTAGGAAATGAACATTTTTAAAAATTTATGGACATACAAGTATGGGTGAACAAACAACATGTTTGCACTTTATAGTAAGAGTACATGTGTCATTTTAAACTCGACTTAGTCCGACATCAAGCCTAATCTAGTCATCCCAAGTCCGACTCTAAAATAATTTCTAAATCCCAAACCCACCCACTTAACCCAATAGATACGGATTATTAATTATTATTATTTTTTTCCTTGAAGGGTTATTAAGTTATTTAGATCCTCTTAATAATTATTTAAATAACGTTAACAAAATTCAATTATAGAATAATTATGATATTTTAACAAATTCCTAGAAAGAAGTATATATATACTTTTCTTGTCTTTTATTATTTTTCTAGTTTATTTTGTAACTAAATAATATAAAAATTAAAATTAAAATTTTATGAATGGGTGGGCTGGGCCTAGTCTGGCCAGACAAAAACTCCTTATTCCAAACTTAGCCCAAAAGTTAAATGGACTCAAAATTTCAGCCCAATTCAACCCTATGGATTAAACATTTATCCTAAGCTCTAAAATAAAAGGTTGGGCCAGGTCATCGGACCCATGGCCACTCCTAGAGTACAAGACTCACTTGCACAAATCTATGTGTGTTACCACTTGTACTTTCATGTGTTTGATACTATTTTTTTTCACTTTTCACTTTTTTAATATTCACCCTTTACAAAACATGAGCAGCATGAGGCTGGTATCTTCACTCCCACCAAGGATCCTCTAGAATGAAATTTTCTTAAAGTTTCCTAGAGTGTTATATTGTGTGGTTGAGATTTATTGGCAAGTTACATCAGAAAAATTGATGTGACTTGCCAGTAAATCTCAACCACACAATGTAGCACTCTAGGAAACTTTAGAGAAAAATCACTTTAGAGGATCCTTGCTCCTTCACTCCAGCCCATTTTCTCAAAAATTCCATAAAAAAAAAGAAAAAGAAAAAGAAAAAGAAAAAAAAGGAAGAAATGAAATGAATTTTCCATCATTCTCAGTGCAAAGAACAAAATTTCTAAAAGAGTAGTTCGAGATATCAATCAAAATTTTCTAAAGTGAACCGCAATTGGCAAAATCAGAGTACAACATCTCACATTCACATCAAAACTCTACTAATTAAATAAAAAATGACAGCCAATTAGCAAAATTATAATTAAAATAAACCCAAATAAAAAAGGCAAATACTAACAAGTGACTCTTATGCATTATTTAATGTTGACAAGTATGTATAAAGCGTTTTGAAAATATATAAAACTATTAAAAACTATTTAAATTTTTTATCTTTTATTTTGTGCCCTATGACACTTATTAGCAAGACCCAATAAAAAATGTTGCAATACCACTTGATTTAAATCATGCACATTTCTATTATCACACACCCCAACCCAATCAAACCCTATCCTAAAAACAAAAAAACTATGTGGCATCAGATTATGGTATTATTGTATATAATTCAACATTTTAAACTGATCAAGTGATACTACATTCACATAATCGAAACTCTAAAAAAATCAAGAGATTTGGAGCTTTAGCAAAGTCATTATATTGAAACATTATAATGTCCTAGCTACGAATCAACAATGCAAGAAACAGAATACACAGATCGATCCAAAAAAATAAAAAATTCAAGATTATAAATGTTTAAACCGATCAAAATATACAACTTCATGAAACAACGAGATCAAACCAGAGGTAATCAATCACAAAATACAAGTCCAATGGATAGATCGAGTCAATCGGCAATGTAGATGAAACGCTAACGCTATAGCGAGAGGAAAAATGTGTGTGAAACTAATGTTGTGTTGGGTTAGAAAATTTAAAGAAATATTTTAAAATGAAAAAGGAAAACGTGTGTAAAATTAGATAAAATATAGATATATCTTATTTTTATTTTACTTATCTTTTCTCTTTTCGTTTTAAATCCTTTTCCAAATCTCTCAACCAAACAGCGTTAGTGAAATAAACGTATATTTTATTTACATTTTATCTGTATAAATATATATATATATATATATATATATATATATATATATTTTTTTTCAAATTCCCAACCAAACGCAACGTAAATATATGAGAGAGAGACCTGAGGAAAGGAAGAGCTCTGAGCCCAGACGCTGCCGTCGTGGCCGATGATGGCGGCGGAGGCGAGGTGTTGGCTCTGGCCATCGATATCAGACATCAAGTGCTCGTCCACATATGTCTGCCACGACATTTTTACTCTCTCCCTCTAAAACTATCACACACGCTCTTTCTTTTTCTAGAATCAACTTTGGGGTGGTGGTGGTGGTGATTATGGTTTGTGAGTTTGTTTGTTTGTTTGTTTGTTTTTTTTTCTGTTTTTGGGAAGGGAGGAATATAAATAGAGAGAGAGAAGAGAGGCTAAACTGGGGGGTGTTATTAGATGATTCATCACCATCTTCTCTGTGGACCGTCCGTTCCCCATTCCGATTCGATTGAATTAGTGCCACTCACGTCCCGCCTTTATTCATGGACACAATTACACACTCATCATTGCCCATTATCACACACCCAATTTCTTATTACATTCATTAAAAAATAGGGCAAATTACATATACACCCCTCGAGGTTTGGCTAAATTATAGATGTCCCTGAGGTTTGAGAAATTACGAATTCCCTCCTGAATGCTATATTTGCATAAGAAATTAGGGGGTAATTTGTTATGAAATATAAACCTCAGGGGGCAAATTGTTATGAAAATACAAACCTCAGGGGGCGGGAGCGCGCTAGTAAAGTAAGATATACAATCTATGATAATTAAGTTTGGGATAAATTTTTATATGAGAATTTTTTTATTTGAAATGATTTGAAATATGAGATTTTTCTGATATTTTAAAAAATAGTATAAAAATGACTTGAAATATGAGATTTTCAAATATTTTAAAGGATGTGTGATTCTTCAAACATTTCAAAAGAAACTCAAAAACTCCTTAGTAAACTTTAGGTAAATGTATAATTTCAAATTGTAACACCAATGTAACATTCAAACATAACATCCTAATGTAACACTCAAAAAAAACTTCTTACTGTACTTTTTCTAAACGTAATACTCCAAAAAAATTTCTTAGTGTACTTTTCCTAAACGTAACACTCCAATGTAACACTCAAAGCAAAAGATGTGAGATTCTTCAAACCATTCCAATATTGAGAATCTTGGAATCATTTAAAAAAGAGTACAAAAATTCCTTAGTAAATTTGGACAAATGTATAATTTCAAACTGTAAGTGTTACGTTTGGAAAAAATATACTGAGGAGTTTTTTAATATTTTTGTGTGTTATATTGGAGTGTTACGTTTGTGATTACATTTATTAGAGTGTTACGTTTGGAAAAAATACATTAAGAAATTTTTTGTGTGGGTTACAATAGAGTGTGTTATATTGGAGTGTTACGTTTAGAAAAAATATATTAAGGAATTTTTTAATGTGTTACATTAGAGTGTTACATTCTTATTTGTAATGTGAGATTTGTTTTAAAATGAGGGAAAATCCAAAATCTCTATGGTGCAGATTGCTCAAATGGAGAAATCCACATTTATCCTTCAAAAATTAAACTCAAACGTATAAGTGACTATCCTTTAATATAATTTCTACTCTAATGTGACCTTTGGATTCATAAGGAAAAAAGGACTAAACAGTTCATAAGATCACATTTTAAAATTTATTGGTACTTTAACCTAAAAAATATGATGAAAGATAAAATTATAAAAATAAAAACATAAAAAATGTTTGTCTATTCATATGCCACCACTCACTCATCCTTAACTTGCCACCACCTCCTTATTACCGCTCCACCCCGCCCCACCCCACCCCTCCTCTCTCCTTTCTTTTCCTTTCCTCTTTCTTGTTTTTTCGATTAAATTTTTTCTCACTTACATATATGCATTTATCTTTGCGGTGGTCGTTAGGATTTCAAAGAATGAGTAATAGCAGTTGCAATCGAGAGAACGTTTTTTTGGAGAAACAAACCGGAGAATGGGATGATTGGGTGTTAGCCAAAGGTGGAGTAGGAGGTGGTAGTAGTGATTGACGGTGGTGGTGGTAGTAGTTGGAAGTGGAGGAGATGGTGGCTAGGGTGGGATTGAGATTCTCTACACTAATTTTAACTTATATAATTTTGCAATACTAGTTTATAGGTCCTAAACACAATCTTTATAAGATTAAATCATGCTTAAATCATCTAATGATTATATTTGGGCCCCTAAACTAACATTGCAAAATTATTACATGTTAGGATTATTATAAAGAATCTCAATTTGCTAGGGTAGGTGTGGTACGGAAGGTTAAGGAGAAATTAATTGTAATATAACGATAGGTGTATTAAAAAAATTAAGAATTAGAAGTTCCTAAAATGAGAGTACTTAGAATGTCTATATACGTGGACATGTTTGGTGCAATTCTTAAAAACTAACAATTAGAAAATAAAAATTAAAAACACTTCTAACCTGCTTTCAATAAATAACTGTTCAGGTTATATAAATTATTTTTCCTATACCAAACACTTTGCATAAATTTTCAACATGAAAAAACTATGAAAGTACATAACTTATCCCAAACAATCCCTTGAAGAATAACAACTCTATATAATAACAACACAATCTTTAATCCAAATTACAAAACTATAGTAGTGGCACGAGAGAAGTTACAAGTTACGTTTATTTGTCAGATTAGATTGAATTGAATTGTTAGTATGGTAGAATTGAGCAAGTGGACTATTAATACGATGGCATTAAGTTAGAGATGAGATAAATTGTATTTGTTTTTATACTAGTATGGTATAAATTGTGTTTGTTTATGTACTAGTGTGATGGTATTAATTGATTGAGATTAAATTTATGAAATTATATAGAAATTCTCATTATATTAACAATATGTTTGGATGGAAGAGTTTGATGAGATTAGAAAAGAAAATGTGAGAATATGAAACCCTTTCTCTTGTTTAGATGGTTACGTAAATGAAAAATGATGGTGAGAAATAATGAGAATGATTCTCACCAAACCTATGTTTTATTTCTCACTAAAAGTTGTGATATTTGGTGAGAAAGAAATTAAGTTTAATGAAATTTTTTTAAAATACCAACACTACCTTGATGAAAAAACATAGCTTATTAATATGAAAAATTATTTTGATAAAATGAAATACAACACTTTCCTTTCTTTTTTCTTATTTACTATATTTAAACAAGATAAGTGAGAAATCACATTCTCTTTTCTTTTATTCATCTAAACATAATGGTGAAAAATCATAATCATTTCTTTTCTTCTCACATAGGTGAAAAACTACAATCATTTCTTTTCTCACCTCACGTCACGATCCAAATGAAGTGTAAAAGTGACTATTATTTTTGTAAAATAGGAGCAATAAGGTCATTACACCTCCAATTCTCGAGATTGGATTACATTACCAAACCTAAATCTCCGATGAGATTATTAGTCCCCTCGGAGGGATTTCATAGTCCTATAAGACTTAAGTCCCCCTTTTTTTGCATTATTAGCAGGGTAAGATTGAATGAGAATGTTACTAACATAGTAGTATTAAGTTAGAGATGTACAATAGATTATGTTTATTTTGTGTAGTAACATGATAATAATAATTGATTAAAATTAAATATATAAAAATATGTAAAATTAATCATTATGTAAAAGGTGACTTGTTATTTTTGTAAAATGAAAGACAAAATAGTCATTTCACCTCCCAATCCATGTTTCTTGTGAGGCCCACATGATTAGCAATCCAATCTCATAAACTATGGAAGAAAACAAACAAAGTTAGTCTCATAACAATTTTCTAAAACAAACATAATATTTACTAATCCAATCTAACTATTCAATTTTGAAAACAATCCGGGCCATATGGCGTTATGAGAATGACACGTCCCTAACGCTACTAAATAACGAAGGACATAAAACCATTTAGAAAAGAAAACAAAATGGCTATATGATCATGTGTCATCGGACTACCGCACTCTAGTCCATGACACACTCCATAATTTTTGTATGTTGGTGTTGAGCCTATTCGAGGGCTTGACACCAATTTGGGCTGGGATAATTTAAATTCAGGAGCTACCAGAGTCCATGACACAATTAAGATTCTTGTACTTGTTTCTTTGATGCCTGTTAAGGCTTTAGGTCATATGTTTTTCCCCCAGTCAAGCTAAGCTAAGCACTCATTCAAAGCCTTTAAAAAAACCAAAAAAAGTATCAGTAGCTTACTCCCAATCAAAATAAGTGTGTTTGGCAAACTCGAATGGTAGGTGTGGTAAGGCAGAAAAATCAACTGGAATGAATTTTTTTTTTTTTTTTTTGAAAATAATAATAAAAATAAGATTAAAATGAAGTGTTGGAATCCAGTGGAATCAATGAAGGCTAGTATAAGATATTTGAGTGGGGAAAAGAATGATGGATATGTTGATTATATAATAAAAGTGGGTATTTAAAAAAGATTAAAAGTGATTTGAAAAAATAAAAAAATAAAAAAAATAAAAAAATAACAAACACAACCACAGCTTTGTTTTCTTTTCTGCAAACGGCCCCACACCGACACCCCTTCTCTACTCTGCCGCCGGTCTCTTCTTCTTGCCTATGTCCTGGGCGGCCCTTGCCGGTGCTGCCTCCGTGTTTCCCACACCGCCGAGCACGTTCACTCCCCCCTACTCCTCCACTACAGCATATGGCGGACCTCCAAATCGGAACATCACGGTGGCCTTCCGCTTCAGCTCCATATTTTCCGCCTTTAGCACGCTTATCTCTGCTCGCGCATCCTTATACATGCGCTGGAGCAGAGCCAGTTGGGCGTTTAACTGCTGCACCTCATTTGTCCTACTCTGTAGCCGATGCGACAAGTTTGTGACTGCCGTCATCGTCTCCACACATGACTTCAATGTATACTGATTGGCCTCAATATCAGTTTGCACCGCCATTTTTTGCTCTACAGACCCGCATCGGAAAGTTCAACGGAGCAAAACTAGAGGCGCTTGATTGGGGTTCCAGGGCAACCGCACCAGTTATCTCTCTTGTGGACTCGTTGAGGTCAGGAAAGAGAGTGAACAGCCCACGGGAAGAGGAGGCCATGTTCTGGGTAGCTGGACGGGAAGAAGAGGCCATGTTATGGGTTGCTGAGTGTTTCAGAGAAGGGTTGGTTACAAAGTGTTTACAGAGTGTTTCAGAATGCAAATGTTCAGAGGTTTCAGACTGGTTTGCACAGCCTCCGCCTTAACCTTGGTTTAAATAGCCAGGGCAGATACGCGCATCGCGCGCCACTTGACGCCAGATGACAAAACGGGAGCGCAAGCCAAGGCAGACACGGGCATCGCACGTCGCTCGACGCCACAGTGTCGGGCACATCTTTTGAGGTATTGGACGCCCCTTTTGAGGGCGCGACTTTTGAGGGCTTGATATATATCCATGTATATATATTTGGGCAGCCTATATACACCATCATCCAGTGTATTCTACAATGGTCCGACATGACCCCATAAACTGTCCCGACATTGATTCCGGTTAGCTTCTCCAACGGTCCGGCATGACCCCATACACTGTCCCGACATTGATTCCGGTCAGCTTCTACATCGGTCCGGCATGACCCCGTAAACTGTCCTGCTACCATGGTCCGACACGACCATACCGTGTCTTCACCAACGGTCTGACACGACCATGCAGTGTCTACTATCCTTTTTTATTTATGTATTAGTTTATTTTCACGTTTCGTTCCTTTCCAAACTCAAGTCGGTTTGTACCTATCCTCCTTGAGTTTGAGGGGGGCTGTTAAAGTATATAATATATTAGTAGATAGTGAGCCTCCCTTTCAGTGCCTTTAGGTGCTAGTGCTTCACTTTCCATCATGAGCCATCATTGTCCATTGTCTGTAAGGATTGTATTTTCTCCTATATAAGGAGCCCCTCACCATTTGTAATATAGAACACTTAATACATCAATCATAATACATACAATTTATTCTCTCCCTATCAATTTATTTAACAATTAATATGATGGTATTAAGTTAGAGATGAGATAAATTGTATTTGTTTTTATACTAGTATGGTATAAATTGTGTTTGTTTATGTACTAGTGTGATGGTATTAGTTGATTGAGATTAAATTTATGAAATTATATAGAAGTTCTCATTATATTAACAATATGTTTGGATGGAAGAGTTTGATGAGATTAGACAAGAAAATGTGAGAATATGAAACCCTTTCTCTTGTTTAGATGGTTACGTAAATGAAAAATGATGGTGAGAAATAATGAGAATGATTCTCACCAAACCTATGTTTTATTTCTCACTAAAAGTTGTGATATTTGGTGAGAAAGAAATTGAGTTTAATGAAAATTTTTTAAAATACCAACACTACCCTGATGAAAAAACATAACTTATTAATATGGAAAATTATTTTGATAAAATGAAATACAGCACTTTCCTTTCTTTTTTCTTATTTACTATATTTAAACAAGATAAGTGAGAAATCACATTCTCTTTTCTTTTATTCATCTAAACATAATGGTGAAAAATCATAATCATTTCTTTTCTTCTCACATAGGTGAAAAACTACAATCATTTCTCTTCTCACCTCACGTCACGATCCAAATGAAGTGTAAAAGTGACTATTATTTTTGTAAAATAGGAGCAATAAGGTCATTACACGTCCAATTCTCGAGATTAGATTACGTTACCGAACCTAAATCTCCCATGAGATTATCAGTCCCCTCGGAGGGATTTCATAGTCCCCTTGGAGGGATTTCATAGTCCTATAAGACTCGAGTCACCTTTTTTTGCATTATTAGCAGGGTAAGATTGAATGAGAATGTTACTAATATAGCGGTATTAAGTTAGAGATGTACAATAGATTATGTTTATTTTGTGTAGTAACATGATAATAATAATTGATTAAAATTAAATATATAAAAATATGTAAAATTAATCATTATGTAAAAGGTGACTTGTTATTTTTGTAAAATGAAAGACAAAATAGTCATTTCACCTCCCAATCCATGTTTCTTGTGAGGCCCACATGATTAGCAATCCAATCTCATAAACTATGGAAGAAAACAAACAAAGTTAGTCTCATAACAATTTTCTAAAACAAACATAATATTTACTAATCCAATCTAACTATTCAATTTTGAAAACAATCCGGGCCATATGGCGTTATGAGAATGACACGTCCCTAACGCTACTAAATAACGAAGGACATAAAACCATTTAGAAAAGAAAACAAAATGGCTATATGATCATGTGTCATCGGACTACCGCACTCTAGTCCATGACACACTCCATAATTTTTGTATGTTGGTGTTGAGCCTATTCGAGGGCTTGACACCAATTTGGGCTGGGATAATTTAAATTCAGGAGCTACCAGAGTCCATGACACAATTAAGATTCTTGTACTTGTTTCTTTGATGCCTGTTAAGGCTTTAGGTCATATGTTTTTCCCCCAGTCAAGCTAAGCTAAGCACTCATTCAAAGCCTTTAAAAAAACCAAAAAAAGTATCAGTAGCTTACTCCCAATCCATGATTCAAATTCATCATATACACATTATGCTGAAAATTAACAAAGAAAATCTGGTGTGCTTGCCTACTGTCAGTATTCACAAGTGAGAAATAATCTTCTGTCCCAGCATCATTATAATTTGGCTCTTGTTAATGGCCTTCTCTGGGAAATGTCAGATTGAAATTTGAGATATAACAACAAATGTCCCATTCCTGTAAAAGAGTGAGGGAAGAGTGACATCATCATCATCATCGCCCGAGTCGATAGGATCTCCCTCTGAAAGTCACTCCGGTAGTCCTGTCTGGCTGTGCCTGAATATTTGCTGGAGCTCCAATCCCCCACTTTGTGACAAGTTTATGTCTACGCAAAGTTAAAGAAAATTTGCAGCAAAACTAACTTCCAGGGAGTATGGCACTGGTAACAGATGGAATTGCGTTGACAAAATCCCCCCCCCCCCCCCCCCCCCCCCATCTAGGGCTGCAACTTGGGCCGGTTTGATTGGGCTGAGAGTCTATCCAAGCTCAACCATAGAGAGATTTGCCCAAGCCCAAGAGACCGACCTCTGTCTGAACTTGCGTTCCAAATCCGAGGTTGAGTCTATATCAAAGAATTCGGGCTAAACTAGGGCTACCCAAATTCAAATACAAAAAAAATTAATTCCGATTGTCCTAAACTAATGTTTCGCACTTTCTGAAAATAAAATAAAATAAGAGAATAATAATCATTATTTTATAATAGAATTTTGTTAATGCCCCAAGTGTACATGTTAAGAGACTTAAAAAGATTGTACATTATGTATAAAAGCTGTATGAAAGTAAGCGCAAGAAAAAATATACCATCTTTTTAAGCCTCTTAATCATATGCGATAACGGCACACGTTAACATGGCCCTTTATAATATTTCATATTTATTATATAAATTTTATATATTAACAAAATTCGGGTTGTGAGAGTTCCTACCTAGACCACTGTCCAAATTTAATTTGGGTTTAAAAATTTAAGTCTAAGTGCTGACCAAATTTGAAATTATATTGCTCAAACCCTAGAATTTTACGAGCTGACTTGCGTTGCTGGGATTGGGTCCGCACAAGTTGCACTGTAAACCCCTCCAAAAAAATTAAAAACAAACTATGCAATAAGAAATTATGTTGAACCAGAGAGAGATCAAAAGGATACACCCACTTTGGAGTCTTCAGTATGTTTTTCCCACTAGCAAGTGGATGCAACACAGTCAGGAAGTAATACAGATGCCCGGCAATGATTCCCAACAGATCTGGCATAAGTTCTGAGCCAAAAATAACATCCAAAGCAAGCATCGCCCAAGGTAAATAAAATGCCTGCAAGTTTGAAGATTTTAATTTGGCATGTCAACAATTTAGAGAGAGAGAGAGAGAGCCTGTGTTTTTACAAGCAATTAATATACAGAATCAGTATACCTTGAGAGACACAAGACCATAAATGTTGATATTGGCATTCGGGAATTCTCTACTCCAGACGTAAAGAAGCATGAAGACCAGAGACACTCCTAAAAAGGGTGACCAGAACCAGGGGATGGCAGATAATGCCTGAACATATGGATGAAGATAAACAAGAGGAAAAGAAAAAAAAAAAAAAAAAAATTGTATTAAGCCATCCAATAAATCACTGAGAGAAAAATAGGAGAACGAAAGCTGAGTAGATATCTATGAAGCACAGGTACTCTCAAAATGTTGCTATACTCGTATCGATTATTGGTACACGTACCGATGGAGCTGCATGCGTACTGGACACTTGAAGTATACTGGGTACGTTTATACATTCTTTGGTAGTTGGGTACTCTGTGTGTACGGGATGGGCACATCGGGGTACACCAAGCTATGGGACATTGGTGGAGATACATTTAATTTATTAGAAAGTTCTAAATAATTTGAAAATGCAAATCCTTTTGGAATGAAACTGTTTTGTAATTTCTCCTATTTAATGGCATTAAAATAGTTTATGGACTTTGCTTTGGTATTGGTATTGGTATTGGTATTGGTATTGTTGAACTATGATTTTTTTTTTTAGTTTTGATATTGAACTTTAATTTGTAAGTTGAATCTCAAACTATAAATTATAAAAAAATAAAAAATTTATTGATGTACCTCAGCTGTAACTAATACTTCATCATTCGTTGGAAAGGGCTTGTGAATGGGAAATCCCAATAGAAAGGAAGAAAATAGATCACAAACTTTTTCTTGCAGATTAATGCACTCCTGAAGAGTCTAAGATCACATGAGCTTTGTGTAAGCCACATCTCTTTAGAAACATAAAGTGACCCACATGGCACATTGCTTTGTTAATTATATTACAAATAATTATTATAGATATTTTATTTGAGTCAACAAAAATCTAAATAACTGACGTGAACTACCCATTTATTTACCCAATGTAGTGGGTTCATGGGATGTTACAACTTCCATAATGGTAGGAAGGTATTGGATGTTACAATCAGAAATATGGGTCCAAGCTTATCTATATAAAAAGCCAGTGAAACATCTCCATACAGTTTTGTGAGATAGTGATTACAGATATCTCTGAGTTTGATTTACAGTTTCAAGGCTTAAACAACATAGTAGGAGGTATTCTTCTGCTGCAACAACACTTTGTTCTCCCACTTATGTTCTTTCACTTTGGACTTTTACCCTCCCTCACATGCAACCCCAATTGGGTGTGAAATGATGGACAAACAGAAAAGCGGCACATAGAAACAAAACTGATTTCACACAAAGCATAATTGGTGGAAGACAAATACACGCAGAGAGGCTTGAACCTAAGAACTCCCAAAGCGAAGTTATAATACCATGTTCTAATACCAACTATCCTCAAAGCTTAAGTAATTAGTGAATCAACTAAACAATGATATCAAGCTCTCAGGAGAGATGTAAGAAAAGGCTTACTTACAATCACAATTTCACAAAACCAAAAAAAAAGAAAATGATAATCCCACTCACCAATAATGTGAAGGCTCCAAACATCATCATCCATAAGAAATCTGCCGTACGCCTTTGAAATGGTCCATTCTCCAATTGGACTCCATATCTTGCTCTATAGCATCAAGAAGCAATAACAAGATTATTAGCACTTCAAAAGCTCATCAGCCATTAGTCGCTTAGAATTGATCTCATGGTATTCGAATGGGTCAAAGCATGGAGTTGTGGTGATAAAACAAACATTTCAAGAACTGAATGAACTTTTATGGAATACTTACATCATTAAAAGCCGGATTCCAAAATTGATGGAAAATTTTCCGAGGAAAAAGAAGTTGGTAATCAGCCTCCATACCTAGAAATGAAAGTAAAGTAGTTACTGAAAAAATCTGATGACAAATGGAAAGAAAAAAACAAGATTGAGGTTTGAGCCCAATAATCAAACTTCTAAGGGGATACTACAAAATCCATATCCCAGAAATCAGTACAGCCTAAGTTAATATCTATAGCCGAACAAAGGTAATATGGAGGATCGGGAGTTTGTTAAATGCATCCAGGGAATTGTGGTTCATTGTCAGAGATAGAAGTATGGAAATAGATAGAATTTCTATGAAATCCGTATTTTTTTGAGGTATTAATATTTTAGTGAGAAGTATTGGTGATTTATTATAGTAGTTTTGGTGGTGAGATTTTTAGATGAGAACCCAACTTATTTTCTTATATTTGTTTCATCCATTTTATTTCGACCTCATTATTGTCCATCTCTTTTTGAATACAATTTTTTTTTTTTTCTTATTTTCATCCTCACCAAGAAAACAAAGAAAAAAAAATACCTTCAATGGCCGGCAGACCCAAATGGGTTGCCATGCCTTCATAATATTGATTTGATAACGCCATATCCCTTCCCCATTTGCATGTCCTTTCTTTTAATTTTTTTTTTAATTTCTTTTTTTGCTTTACCCCCAAGTTTTCTTCATTACAAATTGAGCAAAGTTGAGTCCATTATTTCATTCTCCTCATTTCTCCATCTTTTGCTTCTCTCTTTCCGTTTAGTCTCTCTCCATTCTTTTGTTAGCAAAAACCTTGAGTTTAGTTTTGGAGTGTTTAGAGTGAGGGTTATTAATTTTATTTAAGAGGAGAGTTGTACATTTTGTCCAACTTTACATACTTTATACCTTAGAATTTTAATCTGGTACATTTGAAGATTTATGGAGAACTTTCAAATGATTAAAGTGCTTGCGACGATGGAGATTATTTTGAGGTAACTGGGTGGTAAATAATATATTTCCTCTAAATGTCTTTGCAAATTTTTTTTTATTTTATTTTAATTAGCTGCAATTTGTATTACTCTTGATTATTCTAGTCATCTGATAAATTTTGTGGAATCATTCTATATTGATAAGTTTGATTACTCTGGTCATTTGCTAAATTCTGTGAAGTTATCTTGTGTTGATAATGTTGATTTGTTTGGCTAAATGACGTGAAAATGTTCTGTACATGGATCAAGTGAATCCTACCAATAGCTTGCACCAATATGCTTGGATAAGCGGTTGTGCTTGGGTGAGGTGATAAGGCCGCTCATTGGTCATGTATTGAATAGGACCGAGTATTTGGTTATGAACAAGTTATCATATGTGAGTTTATTTGTTTGTGCAATTTAGTAAATTGCTTGCTAATTCGAATCGAATCATTTGTGCCATGTCATAAATCGTTGGATCCCTATTAATTTATTCGCTATCCAATCATTGTTATTCCTGTCGTATTGTATACTGCCTGAGTTAATTGATTTTTTAGGTGTGGTGCAATTTAGCGGTGAGTGGAGTTGAATCACTTAAAGGATTTCTTGAGTTAGATATTTTGGGTCCACCACGATATATTATTTTTGGAGATTTGCATAAATTATATTTTGGAGACATTTGTGTAATTATTTTTGGAGGCGATTTGTATATTTGAGGTTATGAGTTATTTGAAATTGTAAATTTGAGGTTGATTTAATTTATTAACGGCTTTGAAGTTTGAGCATTACAATTTCAGCTAGCAAACATTATCTAAAAAGGTTGTTCATGCAGAGCACACCAGTTTTGGTAACTGATTATTCAGTGGCCATCATGCATGAAGAACAATATGTTGAATCCCCAGGTTCTCAAGTCAAAACCAAATAACAGTTTTAAACTTAAAATGTATCACAAAAGCAACTATTTAGGGCTATGTCAATGAAAAGGAAGGTTTACCTAACATAAGTTAATTTAGGTCAAGAACAAACATTATCTAATAAAAAGAAGTCCGCAGCTGAGTAAATTAAGGGATTGTCAAGCCTAGATTGGATTTTAGCAACCCTCTCTCAAATAACAGGGTTAGTTTATTGTTTTGATGGAAAGAGTAGTGACCTCAGATGAGCCTTTTTCCAACCTTGAAGACCTAAGGGAAAGGAGATAATGTGAAAAGGGCACATGTTTTGTGTTTGCTCAAATCCAACAGTAAACCAGCTGTGGCATTAAGTACTGAATTATAAAAGCCAGAACTTTTTAAATTGCAATCATCAAGTTGGATACTTCCCCTAACTATATTTGATTAGAAATTCATAAATCACCGAGATGGAGTACATACCTCAAACCGTGAGAACACTAGCGGATAAAACAATGCAATATGTTTAGGATTATACAGTCCAAACTGAAATGCAGTAGTGAAGAGCAAACACAGGGTCCCATAAGTCTTGCTTACAGGCGGAAGCGAATTGTAGAATCTGAAAAAAAAGAAAAAGAAAATAGAAACAGTAATGATTGGAAATGGTGAAAAGAAGTCAAGGAAACAATGTTAAGTGCTTCATCATTCATAGAACATAGAATACATATAAGTAAATAGATTATGGAATAAAAAAATAAAAACCCATTACTTGGGCCTTTCACATGTTCCATAGGAAATACAGAAGATAAAGCAACAACAAAATTGTTACAGCTCCACCCAAAGTAGCATGGTCAAATCACTTAATGCAAAGACTTTTTGAAATAGAAAAACAAAGCATCTATGTAGGTATACTAAGAATTTATTACATGTATGTGTGCGCACACATGAACAAACTCTCTCTCAACCACAGACGCATATATGTATTATGAACTTACACAAAACATCTTTCTGTATTCAAGTAACTCCGACACTCTAGGTGGATGGAGACAGAGAAAATAATGCACAATATATGAAGCAAGAAAAAAAGCTACTAAGAATCACAGCACTGGGTTAGGCTGTGTCCTTGGATTTGTTAGATCAATGATGTGTTTGGTTGGGAGATTTGGGAAGGAATTTGAAAAGGGAAACAGAAAAAATAGGTGAAATGTGAATAAAATATACCTACATTTTATCTAGTTTCACACAACTCTTCCCTTTTCTTTTCCAAATCCCTCTCTAAATCTCCCAACTAAACACAGCGTAAAAGTAGTCTCTTAGTGAAACATGTAAAGTGTAATGAGTTTCTTCTCTAAATAAAATTGTATTCTCACTATAAACCCTTCCAATTAGCCACTGTAATTAAGAACATTTACTAATGTACTTGTGTAAGCATCTTTCTGAAATCAAGCAAATCCCACTCTCTAGATAGACAAGGCTAAAAGCTCAAATTATCAGTAATCAAGGCATGTAAGCTAGGCATTGTCCTAGGCTGTGCAAGATTAAAAAGTAATTTTACAATTTGAACAATCTAAATCATACAACCAAACACTCATCTTCTTACTCACACTATATTAGACAACTTATGCTATACAACCAGTGCAATGAAGTCCCACATCAATTGGGTACTAAAGTAATGTGAAATATAAAAGTGTAAGGGCCCTTCACCTTAATAACAAACTTTTGGGTTGAGTTCTACCCGGACTGTATAACACAACCAAACATTAATATTCTTCTCCACCCCTCATTGCAAAACAGCAAGAAAAATGAGTGGTTTGTTATATAATTTAATTTCAAATTTCGAAATGATATTTTTCCTCATCAAATTGGACTGTTACTAATTTGGACAACGGTCTCCAATTGGACCACATTAGCTAAAATTAGAATCAATTAAATAGATGAAATTGATGCGTTAGGGGGAAAAAAAAAAAACCTATAGTTTAGGGAATAAAAAGTGAAATTAACCATTTCTTATTTAGAACAGTTGACATAAAAAATTTTGCCCAACAACCCACCTTCTGGACCTTTCTAGAGGGTGGAAACAAGTTTGTGAATTTGTAAGACTCGATCTAGAATCCAGATCAGAGAGGGGGGAAACAAAAAACCCTAGAAAGTGAAATCCCTATTCCTAAAATCACAAGTTGTTGACAGACCTCAAAATCCATCAAACTAAACAAAAAAACAACGAAATATAGCTCGCAGTTCTATTAATCCAGAGCACTGAAAACACTCATATCACGAATCAGCATAGCGAAGCTTGTATTGAAGCAAAAGCAACACAAATTGGCACAAGTCACATCTTCATGAACTCACAAACCATGTATGACAAAAATCAATTGAAGTGGAATGAATATCACATAGATCATTGCATAAACACATACATACACACACATACATACACAGACATATACATATATATATATATATATATATAGAGAGAGAGAGAGAGAGAAGAAATTACTCTGCAGGGGAAGACATTGTTGTGGAAGCTCAAGTGAAGATTTTGAGATCTAATGGTCGTGATTTTGAGAAACAATTGCTTGATGAGAAAGATAAGTAGAGAGGTTTAAAGCTCTCTCAATATTCAATTGTTCGTTTGTTTGTTTTTTAGAAACGGACGTGAAGCTGTGTTTCGATTCGATGTGAAGCAAGCGAATCTCACTTCTCACCCCTCCTCACCAGAACCTTCGCTATCGTACACGTTCCTCCCTCTTCGCACGTGTCAATCAGTTTTTGGGTCTGACACGTGCGAAACATTTTTGATCATTTTTCGATGGGCCAAGTTTTCCAGGGGCCATAATATCTTCCGATGGGCTAATGTTTGTGGGGGAGGAATTTGCAATTTGGCAAGATTGCATTACGACACTAAAAAAATTCCTTCATGAGTAAGGACGAAAATTCTCCATTCAAAATAATTCAAAAACATAATTATTTTCCCGCCTTTGCTTTAAGTCACTCATTTTGAAAATATATTTACTTTACAACCATGCAAACCACTACAAAGGTGACACGTGTATAGCACTATCTGGTAAAGGAATCAAAAGTACTCACACCACTCACACCTGGGCCTAGGTGTAACTTTCTTTTAAATACATCCATACACGTGTCCACAAGTACATGAATGAACGGCACAGATCAACGCACGCGTAGGGGGCGCTGGTAATATTAATGCAATGCCCACCATCACACAAACTCACACCATTCACATTAGGATGTTTGCTACGTTGAAGTTGAAAAGGGTGAAATAGAATACTAATTCTAGTTTTATATTTTCTTGGCTAAATTATATTTATTTTTTCTAAGGTTTTTGACAATTATATATATATATGTAATTTTAATAATTATATTAATATATTTTTTGTAATTTTAATAATTTTATTAACTTCTCATACTTTTGAAATTGTTATCAAGATTCACCCAATCTATTACAATTCGTACAAACAGCGTTAGTTGGGTGTGAAAATGACTATATTACCTTTTAATTTGCATGTAAAAAGAAGAAAATACTCATAAACCAACTCATTCATTATCAATGTAGGTAAATTACTCTTACTTCCCCTAAGATTTTATATATATATATATATAATAAAAGACCCATACATCTTTTAACATTAGCTAATTAAATTCTTAAATTTCATGCAATATAAAATAAAGCTCTTAAATTGTTAAGACATTATTAAAATATTTAATAGAAAAAAATTAATTTTCATTGATAAAATACTTAAAAATAAGGAAAAAATATCAGAAAGTCTCATACGGGAATCAATTACTCTAATAAGTTCCATAAATTTTTCAATACACTAATATGTCCTGTTTATTTTAACAATCTTACCGTAAGATCTTATTTTAAATTTTGATATGATTTGATAGATGTTTCTACCCTTTCTCATTGGGAGATGCCATCTTAGGAAAGTTTGATCTAATTTTTAAATCGCGTTTCCATCACTTCAACAAAACACTCAAACGAAACACTCCAAACAAAACTTTTTACTGTACTATTTTTAAACGTAACACTTTGACGTAACACACAAAAAAACTCTTTAATATACTTTTTCCAAACATAATACTCCAATATGACACACTAAAAAACTCCTTAGTGTATTTTTTTCCAAATGTAACACTCTAACACTCCGACGTAGCACTTCCAAAAACACTCCAACACTACAAAACTCCTTAATATATTTTTCTTAAACGTAGCGCTCCAAGAGTCTAATACTAAAAAACTCCTTAATATGCTTTTTTTTAAACGTAACCCTCCAAGATAACACTAAAAAAAAATTTCTTAGTATACTTTTCCAAACGTAACACTCAAACACTAAAAAAATTCCTTCATGAGTAAGGACGAAAATTCTCCATTCAAAATAATTCAAAAACATAATTATTTTCCCGTCTTTGCTTTAAGTCACTCATTTTGAAAATATATTTACTTTACAACCATGCAAACCACTACAAAGGTGACACGTGTATAGCACTATCTGGTAAAGGAATCAAAAGTACTCACACTACTCACACTTAGGCCTAGGTGTAACTTCCTTTTAACTACATCTAGACACGTGTCCACAAGTACATGAATGAACGGCACAGATCAACGCACGCGTAGGGGAGCGCTGGTAATATTAATGCAGTGCCCCCCCCAGTCACACAAACTCACACCATTCACATTAGGATGTTTGCTACGTTGAAGTTGAAAAGGGTGAAATAGAATACTAATTCTAGTTTTATATTTTCTTGGCTAAATTATATTTATTTTTTCTAAGGTTTTTGACAATTATATATATATATGTAATTTTAATAATTATATTAATATATTTTTTGTAATTTTAATAATTTTATTAACTTCTCATACTTTTGAAATTGTTATCAAGATTCACCCAATCTATTACAATTCGTACAAACAGCGTTAGTTGGGTGTGAAAATGACTATATTACCTTTTAATTTGCATGTAAAAAGAAGAAAATACTCATAAACCAACTCATTCATTATCAATGTAGGTAAATTACTCTTACTTCCCCTAAGATTATATATATATATATATATGACATAGGTAGGCCCATAAAGGACATGGCCCACCACTTATGGCCCACCACTTATGGCCCAATTCACGATTCAAATGCTAAAGCCCAACGCTGTTGGAGCTCAACGTGGCATCAAGGACCAATGACATCTAAACACGCGTCAAGAGAAAAACCAGCCATATAAGCAAACAAAGATCCTACAAAGTTATTGCACCACACATCAGCCATTAATGAGGTTCCCTGCAGCATTTATTACGATAACCCCTTCACGTCGGAACATGACGGCCTCACCATGAACAAGGCAAGCTAGAACGTTGACTTTCGGCTAACGTGACGGGTCGGAATGGACAAGGAAATGATGAAACAAATGATATAAGCAGGTTTCTAAGAAAAATAGAAGGTTAAGTTCTTTATCACTATCCTATCTCTATACACTGTTGATCTCTCCTCTCTAACTTGTTCGTCGGAGGGTTCGTTGGGGGACTTCCGTTCCCCGTTGAACTCTTGTGCAGTTTCTCAGCGGACTAGCAATCGGACGACCATGTGGGAGGCTTGGATCAGCCCGACCCGTTACCCAGAAGCAAGTAGTATCATCAGTTGGCGTCGTCTATGGGAAGCTCTCACTCCGTGTGGCAACTGTGCTCATTGTTGTCGGAAACCCATTCCCGATAATCCCTACCTACTACCCACCAAGGTGGATGGTTACGACTAGATCCATGGTTTCTCAACACAACGTTGCCGACTCCCAAGCTGACCCCTAAGCCGACCCTCCTAAACCAAACAACCCACCTCGGTATTTCACAAAACTCACCAACAGCATTAACCGCCTAGCCGAGCAAAACCATGCCCTAATTAATGCTTTGCTTCAACGAGACCTCCCTATGCCTCCTCCACCACCTCAAGACATCCTACCCAACCGAGAACAAATCCCGAGCCATCCCTTCCAACACTCTCACCCCTCCAACTTGGAGGTTTTGCGACCCCCACCCCAAGATATGAACTCGCCACCCTGGGTTCCACATCCACCAGTCCAAGCACCTGCTTCCGAGAGAGAGACCAGTAGTGTTCAGCCTCCATTCCATTTTGGTGTTGACAACGTTCCTATTTGGGATGCCGAACTTTGAGCCTTGAAACTCCAGCTTCAAGGAGTCATGTAGAACATGTAGAATAAACCCTCCACCACAGCCAACTCACTGTTTGTTGCCTCCATCGGGGACAAACCCCTACCTCCTAAGTTCAAAATGCCCTTGATCGACTCTTTTGACGGTATAACGGACCCAGTCGACGACTTGGAGACTTACAGGACCTTGATGGTCCTCCATGCATTCCCTGATGAGATCATGTGTCGGGCTTTCCCTGTGACACTTAAGGGGTCGGCCCGACTGTGGTTTAGTCAGCTCCCAACCGACTCTGTCTCTACTTTCCAGCACCTGAGTAACTCCTTTCTCAGCCACTTTATTGGTGCCCAGCGCCAGCGGTGTCCAGCAACCCAACTCCTAAACATTCGTCAGACAGATGGGGAGTCGCCGCGTAGCTTCGTCACCCGTTTCAACACCGAAGCCTTGCAGGTGGCAGAAAATGATGACAAGGTCATTCTCACGGCTTTCATAGCTGGTTTACGATTATTAGATTTCCTTTTTTCCCTTTCTAAAAACCCTCTAACCTCCATGGCAACCCCTTTTCCAAAGCCCAAAAGTACGCGAACGCCGAAGATTCTCTAGCTGCCCGACCAAATTCCACAACCAAAAACCCTACTCTCAGAGAGAAGAGAAAGGAATTTGAAATCAGAGCCACCCAATACACACAGTAAACACCCTAGTATACCGACCGAACCGCTCGAGCCGACCGATCGGCACCTACTCGACCTCCCGGTCGGTTCGAACGGTACACACTCTTCAACTCCTCCATGGAACAGGTCTTAAACCAGATCCAACGAGATTATAACGTGAAATGGCCACAACCCTCACGGTCACTTTCCACCCGGCGAGACTAATTCAAATACTATCGTTTTCATCAGGACCATGGCCACAACACCGAAGAATGTGTTAACCTTAAAGACCAGGTAGAAAGCTTGATACGCCAGGGGCGCCTCAGTCGGTTCACGGCAGCTCGTCCCCAGCAAAGGCCAAGGACCGAACCTGCTAGGGGCAACCGCCGCCACACTTCCCCCGACAACTCCCACAACCTAACCAAGGCAATGATCAGCCCCCGCCGCAACCCCGAGCACAAGGCAACCCCGCTCCCCCGGTTGGAGAGATCAGAGTCATTGCTGGCGGACTTACGTGCGGAGGACCATCCCGTTTGGCCCAGCGAGCCAAACTCAGAAAAATCAGATAGGGCTCCGACAAAGAGGTCGGGACTTTGGAGTGCCCTCTCAAACACCCCAAACAGTGGATGGAGCACATCACCTTTACGGAGGGCGATTGCACAAGCATCCGTTACCCTCACGACGACCCCCTCGTTATCTCTGCTCTCCTGTCCAATTACAAAGTCAGACGGGTGCTTGTTGACAACGGCAGTTCTTCAGACATCATTTTCCTCAATGCCTATCGCCAGCTCAAGATTGGGAAAGAAAGTTTGTCCCCTCTCTAAACCCCACTGGTTGGCTTCACTGGGGATCGGGTGACCTCTATAGGCTCCATCGATCTTTCCATCACCATCGGAGAGTA